CCCCCCCCCCCCACCTTCTCCCATTTCAAAATAAAAGCCCCAGAGAGTGAATTCTAACTGGAATGCTTGTGCTGAAGCCTGTCATTTAATAACCTCTGTGTTTGTGTGTCAAACATTATGAATATGTCTCCTCTCCCCCTCTCTCACCCACCCAGCCCCACCCTTTCAAAATAAAAGCCCCATAGAGTAAATGTATCTTAACATGAAGCTCAGAATGAGCGTCAGCTCCCATAATTTCCAAAGGCTTCTCAAACAAATATGTATATGTCCAGTACAGAAATGACGGGAGCCATTTGTGGACTGTCCATCACGAATACAAGATTCAATCCAAGAGTATGAATCTAAAATGCAGAAAATAGAGTGGCGATATCTCAATTGAACCTGAACGACACTACCGGTAAAATTGCCGTGTATATATATTGCGACGTCTTCGGGCAGTAGAAGCCACACTGTCAAAATTTTTGCGAAATTTTCTAGTTAAATTAATGTTATTCGTGTAATCTTCAGAGCATGAATAGTTCTGATTGATCCGGATTAAACACGTTTAACTCAAATACATGTTTTTATATTCGTGCTTTGTTTTTCACTCCGTCTTCCTCTGGAACTTCATTCATACTTCAAACAACTAAAGATACATTATTGTTATTATAAACGATGACGATGAGGATGATGAAGAACGGGGGGGGGGGGGGGTATGACTCCCTCTTTCTAGCGAGGTGGGGGGGGATGCTGGGCTTCGGCCTCAACCTGTAAGGACTGGAGCGCTGATACTGCCAGGGAGGAGAGAGGAAAGGAAGAGGAGGGAGGGTCTGAGGAGAGGAGATAAGGAGATAGAGAGGAGGAGACAGGGAGGAGGAGACAATGAGACAGAGAGGAGGAGACAAGGAGACAGAGAGAGACAGCGAGGAGGAGACAGAGAAGAGGAGACAGAGATGAGGAGACACTGACTCATAACGTCAATAGAAATCTACAGGAGGACAGACGACAGGAGACTCTGGATTCTGACTTTTGTCTTCTTTAAGGGAATAAAAACACTCAATAGTTCACAGTAACTCTACACAACTACATTACCCAGAAACCCTTTCAGGTGACAGGAGTAAACCGGACACTCTGAGACGTCTCACAATAACTTTATCTATACATCGATATAGAGGAAGAGACAGAAGATAAATATTTAAAATATAGAACAAGGAGGTTGAATAAAAAAGTAAAAATCTACTTCTAGTGATCATGTTTGATGATAAAGATGAAATAATAATCAATATCATCTGTGTGTGTGTGTGTGTCTGTGTGTGTAGATGTGTGTGTGAGTGTGTGTACGTGTCTGTGTGTGTGTGTAGATGTGTCTCTGTGTGTGTGTGTGAGTGTGTATGTTCTCACAGCGCTCTCTCTCTCCGTCTCACTCGTCTGCGTCTGTCCGTCCGTCCTGTCCCCCGTCATCGTCTCCTGGCAATGACACCTGGTGGTTGCCGTGGGAACAGTCTGCTCACAAGGAGACACAGACGTTTGTAAACAACAACAGCTGGACGATGATGATGAAGACGATGAAGATGAGACACACACCAGCTGCAGGGTGAGGTGTGCGATGGTTCGGTCTCGGCTTCTCAGCTCCTCTCTGAGGTGCTGCACCTCCTGCAGGAGATCCTACACACACACACACACACACACACACACACACACACACACACACACA